ACTTGAATGGCGTTTTGATAGCCTCTAATGCAGCTATCTGGCATCGCGATGCAGTCCACTTAGTGCCAGTTAAGCTTGTAACCTCCTCACCTCACCTCACCAGTTAGCCCCAACACATACCCCCTTCAGCAAATATCTCACAGACACTTTCACTGCCAGTTTGGAATACATTTCACTTATCTTTAGCAACAAATTCTCTGCACTTGCGTGCAAATCCTTGCAGGCCGCATAGTCCTTGAGCTACGAGCAGTTGTGGACTCAACTAGATACAACTGCTTCCCCTCCAGCCCTTATATATCTCTCTTTCTCTCCCTGCCCCATTTGTTACAGAGTCGCCTCGTACTCAGCTGCCATAATGTACTTGAAATATTTTTGCATCTTCTCGTCGTTGTTTCATTTGTGACAAAGTGTCCACATCCGGATCCGTACAGCTGTCATTCTGCTAGCATATCTCTGAGTTATATATATTAAAAACTGCCGCTTCGTGTTTAGCTTTGGCTTTAGCTGGTGTTTTTATGGTAGAGAGAAGCACTTGAAATTTATTGTCCTGTGATTATTGCTTCACTTGTCTGCAGATATCGCAGCCTGCCTGCACATAAATCCTTAGCTCTGTCGCATTCGTCTAGCACTGAAATAAGGGCATTAGACTTGTTTAAAGTTTAAGCCGACAACTTCCTTTCTCTCTATCTCTCTCTCTCTCCCTGTCTCTCTGAATCTCTACTTTTACCTCCCTCTGCGTCTGTATCGTTTCTGTTACCTCTTACCACGTGGCCATGCATTCATCCAATTAGACGCTTAATTGTCTGACAAGCAAATTGCTTTGTCAATATTTTCATCAAGTCATCTCTCGTTCTCTCTGTATGCTATTTGCCCGTACCCGCCCCCGCTCCCGCCACACCTCCTATGACTGTCTGACACACGCACTTACTTCTGACAGTTTCAAGTATCGGACTTTATTACCCAACCCACCAGCTGGCTCCGTGAGTCATGAGGTAACCATCAAACAGGCTTTCAAGATTGACCACAAGTGTTGTTGTTGTTGTTATTTATTGCTGTTATTATTGCTGTTGCCTTGCCCAAAAAGCATCCTTTTTTAGGGGGGTGTCGGGAGCCAGACTCGTGTCACTTATAAACTTCACTTTAAGTTGTCAATATTTATAAATATTTACACGCCCAAGAGGCAGACGCTTGAAGGGATGAAGGCTTGTCATTGTATAATGCCACTGCTTGAGATGTCTCTCTGCTTTATATCAGTCAGCAACAGAAGCTATTTTCAAACTGACATCGAAGAGACTTAAAGGTCGCTGGCTCCAATCCAAGAACTCTTACAAATTCAACTAGATAATCCCAGAGAGAGAGAGAGCTCCTTATGTTTGTTGAAACGAAATAAAGGGGTCAATTTACATACCTGCTGCGCCATCATTAGATATAATAAATATTCTTTCACATCTATGCTAAGCCATTGTGGCTCCTTTTTTTATGTGCCCAGATAGCCCATTTTGGAATTACAAAAGAAACCATAAACAGCAACATTTCACTTCCTTAAACCCGGTTCAATAGCCGTAAAAACCGAACATAATTTCCAGGCCTCAACGATGATTTTATGCAAATCGTAATCAAGAGTGAAAAAAGGGAGCACACATATGCCCAGCAATTCGGTTCAATAAAAGGCAACAAATGCCTCTTGATAAGTGTAAAATTTACAATTCCAATTTTTACAACAGTTGTGCAGAGTCTTTAAAATGACACCCCGACACCCCAACCACTCCCCGTACCCTCAAAAAAAAATAGGACTTAACAATGATATGAAAAAATTGCGTAGGCTTACAAAATGCGCCGTTAAATACAACGTTTGTATTCGCAGCTTGAGGCCCAACAAAGGGCCCGCAATTCAATTGAAAAATCTGTCGGAAAAGGGGTTGGGCCGTGGAAATTCTCTCAGTCACCTAATGCACAGCTGTTATACTGCAAGAACATTCGTACATAATTCTCAATTGTCTGAGCTGTTGCTTTTGACGCCGGGCAATCAAATTAAAAATTAAGACACACTTTTTTCTCTCTCTCTCTCCCTTTTGCCCCGCATAGACAGGGCGGATCAGCGGACTTAAGATAGTCGACTTGATTGCTGGCATTGTCGAAAAGGGGTGGTTGCTCAGCTCCTCTAATGAAGTCATTAAGGGTAGCTGCCAGTCATAAGTTCTCTATGCATATCTACTACATCCTAAAAACATGTGTGTGTTTGCCAGTGTGTGCCAGTGTGTGCCAGTGTGCGTTTGTGTGCGGTTAACTTTGAGCAACTGAGGTCCATAAATGTTGTTGCTGATGTCGGCAAATGAATAAATTATCAACTATGCGAAGGTACTTACGAATAGAATGAGTGCTTCTGTAGTGGCTGTTGCTTTTTGAGGGTAGTAGTAATTGCGAGCGGCTTGTCGTCTAGGCCATTAGAACCTGGCACTAATGGGCCTGTTGCCTGTTGCCTTTTGCCGCTTACCACCCAACTTACGACTTGCGACTCCTGACTAAAGGTGGGTGGTTGGTGTTGGTTGCCAAATTTAAGTTAAGTTGCTACCCAAAAGCCACAGCGATATTAGCGCATAAAAAAGGCATTTGTAAGACATGAAAGGCACTCAGTCAATGGCGGGCAGGTGGCTTTTAAGGCAGATGCTCGGTGGGGCGACCCAGGGATACCCAGGTCCGGGGACAAAAAGGAAGACAAATCAATGCAGGTGTCACAAATGTCAGACGACAGCTTTGGCCCGCCCGTGAGGATATTAATGTCGCTGACTGAATTGATGATGACGATTGTTGTTTGCTTGTTTGTCGGGACGAGATGGGATGAGATGCGGAGAGGGATGTGGCAGACGAACCTGAACTTAAGCCGATTTGCCATCTTATCACAGGCGCACGAGCAAAAGCGATTCCGATACCAATCTCCGCCTGAAGCGCCTCAGTCAGCTTTCATAATGTGCTTTTCCTGCCTGGCTGCCTGCCTTCCTGCCAGCCAGCCAGCCAGCCTGCATGGCTGCCTGACTGCCTGCCTGTCAATTGACAGGCATAATAAATCATGTGTTATAGTATTAATCAACTTGAAGCCTTCTTGTTGCGCCCGTCTTTGTAGATGTTCCATGTGTTGCTGTTGTTGTTGTTGCGGTAATCGCATGACATTTATTGCAGTTACCGTTCTGCCTGCCACTCAAACAGCCTTCACTTTAAACTTCCTTAAAGCCAACTTTGTCTTTGACTTCAAGTATCATTTAATTGTGTATCGCTGCTCTCTGCTCATTGTCCTGTTGCTCTAACATTGCCATTGTCTTGAATGGTTTCTCTAGTTGCCACTTGTCGCAAAGTCTTCTTAGGGTTACCCTTTCTGTCTGCCACACCCATTCCTCAGCTGTCTGGCCGGCACATTAAGAAGTTGTAAAGTTAAATTAAGTGTTTCGTCTTCTATGCAAGAAATTAAAAGGCAGCTGAATCGTGTGTGGCCAGAAAAGTTTCAACAACTATTATTCAGTAGGGGTAAAAGGGAGTTGGCCGTTTGTTTAGTGTTTGAATAGGGCTTGCCTACTTTATGTGTAGTTAGTTAGGAATGTGAACAATTCTTCGATATTTTGGATACCAGTGAAGCAATTCACATCTTCGTTCCACAACAATTGAGTCAACCCATGCTAATTACTGGAAAATTATTCTTCTGCTGCCACGCGTTGGCAACTACAATTGAAAATAGCTTATTATTTAATTTGCAGACTGTAAAATGTAATGCAATTAAAGGATTAACAGGGAATGCCATTAGGCTTTATTGTCATCAACACACTTACCGCTAGCGACAGGTTGGACCAAACAATTCACACGGACTTCCCCGTCTGCTCCTAATGAATGGGACTATTGAAATATTCTTTTCCATCTTAAGTTCCTGAACAATAGGCCACAATTTGGCTGGGTTTTGCAACAATTTCGCTTCAGTATTGCTGACAATTGATATATTTTCAATTATTGAAATGACAAGCAACAAATCTGAAGTGCTTAGACAAATTGTCCAAAATGTGACAACACGACACAAAAAAGGGCAAAACTGAAACTATCTGAGCCTTAATGTAATTGCTGCCCCTCGCCTCGCCTCGACTCGTCCCGCCCTGCCCGGCCCGTCTCCATTCGTTTCGCTTCGGTGCTTGGGGACACGACACGCAGTAGGACCACAAACCGAAACGAACACCGTGCTGGGGCGGGAGTTGTGGGCGGTCAGATGGCGGCATTTAAATAAACCAACGTTGACTTTACCAACTACTCACACAAATACACACAAATATGTACGACACAATTTTTCTAAAGGAAAATAAATTTCTTTGCATTTTATTCTGTTGCTAGCAAATTTGATTTGATTTTTAGGCGAGAGTTGGTTCTCCGTTCTCCGTTCCCCGTTCGTTGAGCTTAGTTCTTCAGCGGATATCGGCAAAAGTCGCAAATCAAATAAAGTAAATTGAATAAAGACAAACGACACGCCCCCTCCCATCCAAATGCATCTCAACCAAAGAGGCGAAACTTCTATGGAAGTGGGCGTGGCAACGGCGGCATGAAATTAGTTGCTAGTTCTCTGACTCGTGCCTCCCTTCTTGAGCATCGAGCTTTGAGCTTCGAGCTCCGAGCTCCGAGTTGTAAAGGCGAGGACACAAATCGAAATCAAAATGTTCCCATAAAAGAATTATCTGTGCTTAAGTTAGATTATCTCTGGCCATAGAATCCAATTGCCAATTGAATGGAAAGATGCAAGAGATTCGATTTGTCGAGTTGCCGCCGAACGTAAAATTTATTCGCCCCCCAATCGACAGCCACTTGAGAAGTTGTCCATATTCTTCTTAAATGTTTATTCGTCTCTGTCTTTTTATCGATTGTCATTTGATTTGGTTGGGTCTAAGCACAAATTTATGAGACACAAACATATGTTTTGGGATTTGAGGGTAGTTAAGGGTTAGTCTGACATTAAATAAAAGTCTTTAAGGCAATAAGATGACGTAAGACAGTATTTTTTTTTGCGCAATAGAATTAACAAAGCTTTCAACTTTAATCATTATTCACACATAAATTCTTCTTCGATATCGGCAGATTTGCCGCCTTTGTCTTTGCCTTTGTCCAGCTCATGTAAGACGAGCGTTAGAAGCTCAAATTCACGCTTAATAAAATCTAAGCATTTCTCCACTTCGCGCCTATTAAAAGTGGCGTCGATATCTATGTGAATATCATTGTCAGGTCATAAAGTCTAGGGTGTTAAGGTGTTGTAAGGCAATTAAAGAGAAACGCACCACGACGCTTGCACAGCATGCGGTAGATTATTTGAATGCCATCGAGTGCACGTTCCTTGTCCAAATCATTGCTCCTTACAGTGTCCTTGCAGATGCTCAATGTCTTCTCCCACTTGAGGCCTAAAGCGCGCGATTCGTTATAGGATCGCTCCAGCTTGGCCAGATCATTCTTAAGGCCCAGCACTGTGAGAGCCGCTTCATTGGTGATCTTCACCATTCTCTTGCGCATCTCCTCGATCTCCTGCAGCTTTTTGTTTTCCAGCTCAGTGATCTCAACCTGGGCAAGCACTGTGCAGCAAATTTAAGCATAGTATAAGGATCTGCAAACGGCTTCTCTAAGATGTACTCACTTAAGGCATCACAACGATCAATGCAATCTTTGGGCGATACGAAAATATCGGATGCGTCCACCACATCATCCAGGACTCGCTCGTATTGCACAAATTCGCTGACAGTTTGCTTGAGAGCAGCTCGAAATGTATTCAGCGAGCTGAGCGATCTTCGGAACTCATCAATGCCAATGGTCAGCTCGTCATGCTGGGCTTCCTGCTCTCGAATGATCTTCTCGGCAGAACGCTTTTTGTCCGCGCAATCCTTAATGAAGCCATTCACCTCAATGAAGCGCTTCCGCAGCCGCTCCTGCATCTTGTACATCTGTGCGATGCGCTGATTATTCAGCTCCTCCTGGTGCTGGGCATCCTCCAGCAGCTGACGCTGCAGCACTAACATGGCCTCATGCTCGCGACTATTAGCTATGTACAGCATCTCAACGGAGTCACCAGCCGAGTCCCAGTTAGGCGGTTTCCTAGGATAGGATGACGTTGAGTCTCTCAAGCAAACTGACTGAACCGTTGGAACTTACACGAAGAAACGATCCTGTTGGCGAGATATCATATATTCGCCCACCGCAGTCTCGGGACTTAGATCCAGGTTACCGAGGACATCGGTCTTCGTGGTGGGCTTACGGCGTGGCATTTTTCGAAAATTTCACCCGAACTTTATTTGAAAAGATATAATATTTATATTTGTTTTCAGCGATCTGTTGTCGACTGTTTGTTTGTGTGTGGTATGAACAATGTGACCAGGTTTTAACTATTTGACAATAAACACACATATGATAGTTGTATGGAAAGAAAGCAAGAAAGTTAAACTTAAGTTAGTGAGATGGAGAAGGGTAGCGAAAAATCAGTTATATATATTTCATGATATTGCACAGATACTGGGTATAATATACATTGTTTTTGACAATTTCAACCAATTAATTGAAGCTCTGTTAATGAAGATTTGATGTTATGCTTGAAAATAGTGAATAAACTGCGCTGTACTTTCACCATTTTGCAGCTAATTCTACATAATAATATATGAAATATATAATATATATATACTACTATGAATGCCGGATGCATTAAAATAAACACGTTTACCTGGAGATGGTTGAGAAAATTGCTTGTTGGTAAAATTGGCTGAATTTCTGATGTTCACTGCTTACCCAGTTAGAAACTGCCCAGGCATGGATAAATGTTATAAACAGTCGTTGCCATTAACTCATCATTGCCCAGGCAACCAATGTTGTTGAAAATAAAACACAGCTTGGTTGGCAACGTTAAACATGTTACTTATACATTTAATCACTTTGAACACTTACAGAGTTTATTTTTTCTCGTTACTTTATATTGCAATTTTGGAATGCCACGCACTAAGCCAACAAAGACTCTCGATGTCCTGGGCAATCTGGATTTGCGGCCGGAGGAGGCGGTGGGCGACTACTTGCTATCGAAGATACAGGACAAGTATTTTATGTAAGTGATTCGTTTATAAATCCCCCAGCAGCAGCCATTGTTAAGTACATTCCAACATTCCACAGCAAACCGCCGCTTGTGGATACCGCTGGCGATTCTATCGAGCTCCTCCACATACATAATACCCGGGAGCATGATAAAATGCTCGAGCTGCAACAGGAAATGCTGGAGAATTCAAAGCGCCAGTCTCAAATAAATGAGGATCGAGTGAAACAGATGTATCAGACTCAGGAGGAACTCAGACAACGCTTTATCGATGTGAACAGCTTTATCAAGGACTGCGCTGACAAGAAGCGAATCGCTGAGAAGGCCATTCACGACGAAGAGCAGTTGCACGAGGAGCTCAGCGAGGATATCAAGAAGTTCAAGACCTCTATTAGTGAGTTAACGACTTTTCGAGAGGCGCTCAAGGGCACCGTGGAGGAGTTCCAACCCTATGAGAAGGTTCTCGAGGAGGTGGTGAAGGTCTCTGATATATTCAGCTCGCCCAAAGATTGCATGGATCGTTGCGATGCACTCAGTAAGTGTGGAATAGGCATTAATTAACCTGGACTAACTAAAACCTTGTGGCTTAGTGCTCGCCCAGATCGAGATCAGTGAATTGGAGAACAAGAAGCTGCAGGAGATCGAAGAGATGCGTCAGCACATGGTTAAAATAACAAATGAAGCTGCTCTTACCGTGCTGGGCCTCAAGAACGATCTTTCCAAGCTGGAGCGATCTTATAATGAATCGCGTGCCTTATGCTTCAGGTGGGAGAAAATCCTTGCGAGCACTAAGGATGTTATAGCCGCCAATTTCTTGGACAAGCAGCGAAGTCTTGGGGCGGTTAATGCATTATATGGTATTCTATGTCGCCGACGCGGTAAGTTAACTATTCATTACAAATATCTTTGACTTTTCTGAGCTCATCGAAAATAAAACCACAGGTATTAGTACTGATATTCGACCCCAACATATGGAAGCACAATTGGATTTCATCAAGATTGAGCTGGAGTTGCTACAAGAGCTACTGAGGGAGTTTGAAGAGGAAAATGAAGCAAAAGGCAGATTGGAAATTTCAAAAGGGCATTGAGTCTTACTTCTGATTTGAGACAATCAAATTTCTTGCATTATATTAAATAAATATATGGGAGATATAAAAGGTTATCGTGTTTAGCTCGTGGAATTTGGCTTGCTTAACTTGTTCTTAAATAACCTTTCAACTTGTTATTCCTCTTCCTCTCTCTGTCTCTCTCTCTCACTCTGTTTCACTATTACACTTTCTGCTTTGTGCTTTCACCCTTGCTGTAGCTCTTAAACGTTATTAATAGTGCCCCACTGCAATCGCTTGTTGATGCTACTTTCTAATTGCTTTTACCTCATAAATCTTGCTCCACTTGGACGCTGGCTATTCTTTCCCATCCTCCATTTTTTTGTTGGAGTTTGTGTTCCACTCGGAGTTTTGTCGTTCTCTCTCTCTTTGTCCCGCTCTGTCTCGCTCTATCTAGCTCTGCAGCTACAGTCGTCATAAGTCACAAAATTGTCGGACACTCAAGACAAATGTGTCGCTGCATTGGCCGTTGGCTCATTTAATTAGAAATCTGGAGACAAGCTGAAGAAAAGAGCTGGAGAGTAGTCGGTTCTATGCGGGACTGCAGTTAACGGCCTGTCGCATCAATTGCACATTACGAAGTGCACAAAACTCCGCTTGACGGCATTTTAATTACGTCAGCCCAGCTATTTCCCAACACTGCTCTTTTCCAATTCCCTCTACCTAGCTCACAATTAGCGGAACGGCTGACAAAAGCTAAAAACAGAAAACAAAAACGCTAAGAAAAAAAACATTATCAATTGCACCAGTTGACACTCGTCGGAGGCATATTGAAAAACTTTTTTAATTACCCCTGAAAAAAAACGACGGTCGCTGGATTTCAATTATTCATTGACAGGCCTTCGTTGCGCCATTTAACCTGTCGACCACTTGACATTGTGGCACGAACGATGCCCCAATAAAATTCAACAAAAGCAACAAAGTTCTAACCAAAAATCAGTGGCTAAAGTGTTAAGCTGACGACTTCTGGTTAAAAGTTGAATGCATTTTTGGCCTCAACTTGACTGTTATTGTTGAATTCTCAGGCCGAAATGATATTTAATATTTTTATTAACTGCCAGTTTTGTTATTAAGAGAAAAATGAAAGAAAAAAAAACTGAAAATAATTAAATTAAGAATACGATTACTTAATTCTGACAATTTCCATTCCGCCGAGCAGATATTGAAAAATTAGTTTCCTCCAACGCGGCGACAAATTCAATGCCCAAAATAAATTTCAAATCTCCAACTCTTTCGGCTGGGAGTTGGGGCATGGGGGAGTTTGACATTTTTATGCCATGTCGTCTTGTGTTCGTGTTTTGATTCCCATTGCCGAAGACATTTCCGCCCGTTGGAGCTTGAAAGGTGTTAGAATTCAGTCGTTGCCGCCGCCGTTGATATATAGACGAGTTTGGAGTATATGAAAACATTTTAATTAATGCTGACAGCTGAAAAAGTCGCGGTTGCTTTTGTTGTGTAAATTTCTCAACTCATCGAGGCATTGGGGTCGATAATTATTATTGGATTTCCTTCTGCATTCACTACTGGTTTTCTTTTCGCTTCGGCTTGTGTGTGTGCTTTTTTTTTTTGTTCTTTGCTCTTTATTCGCTTTTCTATTGAGCAACACGTCAACAAATTAATCCGCTTAGCCTCGCATTTTTACCTTATTGAGTGGGTGCTCCCGCTGGGGTTGCCAGACTAGACAACTGCCAGACCCTGAACATGATTCAGAACCAAGAAAGCAGAGCCCAGACGTATTGCCAGACGGCTAAGCTTTAATCCTTAATAGTTGGCTCCGGCTCTGTCTCTGGCTCAGGCTGGATGGGGGTAAACCAGAGGCTAGTGTTCGAGTTCAGGTTTTCCTAGGGTTTCCTTTTGTTGTCGCCTGGTGTCAAGGTGAATGATTGAGCCACTGGGGAATGTGCCATGCAGCAGCAGCTCAGTTAATTAATGATTTCGATTGTTAAAGCATACAACCATAAATTGTTGCGATAAGCAGGATTTCTTGATTATATTTATCAAATGACTAAGCAGTCCACATAAATACATAAATAAATCACGTATTCAAAGTATAGGATAGGATTTGAAGCATTAGAATTCAGAAATTCTAGAAATATACTTGAATAACTTTGTATTTAACAGGAACGAAATATCATTCTGGTTGGATATGGCTTAAGCTTTACAGTATTCATCGCATCAGGATAGTGGTAAATATCTTAAGATCATATCTTTATATTCTTTGATAGTGGATAGTAGTTTGTGTGGCATCAAATAAGCCTTCATATTTCTGCCATTATACAAATATATATCCAAAATCTTAGTAATTTCGGCAAACTATATATAAAATTATATATTTGCTGATGCAAAGTTTAAATAATGTGAAGAATCGAAGTAGAGTTGCCAACTTCAATGGACGTCTATAAAATCGACTTGTCATGTCATTTGGTTGCTAACAACAACATTTGCCTGTCGGCCAATGCACTCTCCTAGGGTGCAGACACAGCAACTACAATTTTCACTCTAATAACAATATATAACACACAAATTTGAATAACAAATTAACTTGCACACAAACACACACACATACATACTCACTCTGCCATGCAGTTAGTAAGGCAGTCAGTCCGTCAGTCGAGGCTCCGACTTGCGGTCACAACATAATTGAATGCCTGCAGGACACACACGACAAAGCAGCGCAGGAGCAGTGTAGAAATACATAGAGCAATAGCCACAAAATATTTGCTTATGTCGCTGGCTGGGCTGGCATAAGGCAGCCACAGCCACTGCCAGAGCCAGAGTCACAGTCACAGCAACGGCCACAGGCTGGTCATGAAACGTTCCAGTCGCACAACCACCAGATTACACCATCCAACGTCCATCAAGCATCGAGCCATCGACCAATGCGACTTGCAGCAAAGTCAACGTCAACGTTGCATAAATCAACACAACGACAGCAGCGACTACTGCGATGGCAGCAGCAACAATGTTGCAAAGGCAACTGCGCTGCCAATTTCGATGCAGTCAGTTGCTGGCCCCAAAGTTGATTGAATATTTCAAACTATGCATCTTTAATAAAGCACAACAATAACAGCAGCAACAACAACAGCAACAAGGACGCCTGTGGATATTTGTGGGCGCAAATGCAAATGCCCAGCAGCAACAACAGCAACAACAGCAACAGCAGCAGCAACAACAACAGCAGCTACAGCTGCAGTGACCCTTAGTCAATGTAATTTGGACTTTTGACTAACTGACCGTTGGCCTAAACCGGCCCATTCCGACTTGGCCTTAGACTGGCTGTCTATCTGTCTGTCTAGCTGACTGACATCCAAGACGCCTCCTAATCAAATGGCCATCTGGAGAAAGATTTGCTGGAATTTTTTTTGCCGGCTAAAAGTTGAAGCTATGTCTGGGACTTGGCCGCTACTGAGCAGCATCTAATTGAATCCGACCGCATCAAGATGAAGTTTGTCGTCTTTTGGCGACAGTTTTGTTTGGGACGAAAGGCTGTTGGTTGGGTTGGTTTTCTCTAGCACTTTGTGTTTGTTTAGTTGACCACAGTCAAAAATAGCTTTGAAAAAGTTTCTACTACGAAACTCTCGACGTTGCTTGACGCTGATTATGCGTCCCGTCCAAAAGATTCCTTCGCATCTTTGTCAAAGTCAGAAAGTTTGCCATAGTTCAAGTTAATGTTGTGTGACTTTTGTGTACTTTCGGCCACTGCTGTCAGGCAATGAACCATGTTTGATGCCTTCAATGATGCCCTAACTGACACGATATTGGCAAAAAGTTTCAATAACTTGGCCAATTGCCTGCATAAATTCCATGTTGGCTAATACAAAGTTTTCAATATCATTGGCCAATGGAATAAATCCTGTGATCATGAAGGGAATAAGACTGCATATCAAATCCTATTTAATTTTAAACTGTAATGTGCTCCAGTGCTCAGAGCAGACTCTTTAATCATCTACAGTTTATATTTCATTCTTGAGTCTTTAAAAAGGACAAAGCAGCGATAAGCAACAGATAAGAGTCCTGGGTATCTCTCAGTCATACAGCAACATTATTAGCTGTGACTCTTTTTGTGTGAATGGTGTGGCAAGGGAACGATGAAAACCATTTTATGACCATAGACAACAAGCGCTTAATTAAAATTCTGTATTAAAATTAACTACTGCGGCAGCTAATGCGAAATAATTCCAAGCGCTGCTCGCGACGTATACGCAACGTGGCAAATGTCTGGCCAAAAGTTGCACTGCGGCAACCCAAACCCATCCACAGAGAGCCAAGCAAATCAGCTTAATGCGGCTCAGCTCAGCAAACCTGGCTGACCGGGTAGCTGGCTGGCTGGTTGGCAGTCCATCTCAGCATTTTACTGGCAAATGAAAAACAAAATGAGGAAAAAAAGAAACTAAAATTTGCTCACAATGCGAAAATTTAATTTAGCTTTTGCTTTTCTCGTTGTTAGCACCATGAATAGGTGGCTGTGGCAACAGCAACAGCAATTCACTCGCAACATGAGACGCATTACACATACGCAGTGTTATCCGTTCGAGTCTCTATTTTACCTCTGCCCCACCTCTCTCTACGTCCTCCTTTCTATGTGTACTCGCAACTGTGTGCGAAACCACAGGAGATTAATTTCGTGTCTGTGCATTCTTTTTACAATAGACCATGGACAAACCACCGACAACAATGGGTCGAACGACTGAACACGCCCTAAGCCCAAAACGGGGCAGGGTCAAAGGCGACGCATTGAAGTCAATAGTTGCGACATGAAAGCCACGCCCATCCGTCACAAACATTTCAAAATTATTGAATAATTCCAAGAAAATTACAAATTTCTTGAGAACTGCTGACAGTCAGTTGCAATTAAAATTTCTTTGCAGACTGTTGCAGACAACTTTCCTCCCCCCACGCCAACCGTATGATAACGTTGAAGGACCCATGAAATGCCTGACAAATATCACACTCAGGCACAGCAGGTGTCCATTAAGTAGCAATTAGCTGCACGTCCGTTTAGTGGCTGCCTTGATTACTGCTGCTGTCATGTGGATAAGTGGGCGT